GGCCTCCCTTTCAGTAATCCGGCCGTTTTCAACGTGAAAATCCATGAAATGCTGTGGGCGTGTGATTGTCCAGCTCTTGTACTTCTCGCTTTCTCTGGTGCAGGAAGCCTCATTTAACAACTTTTCACCGTGGGAGACGTTAATAAGCAGCGAGAGCAGTAACGTATCTGTTCACGCCACATTTGGCAAGCTGGCCAAACGGTTTCCCCGTTGCACCCAGAGGGGGATGGAATTGTAATGATTACAGCCCTAATAAGTTTGCAGGGGTAAATGAACGGCTTTCCCACAGCGCCCCGTTCCAGTCTGAGCGCTTTCGCGGGACAGATCGCTCGAGCAGCTTTGGAAGCCACCTCAAGACATTCTAAAGGGCTGGTGAATGGTGGAGCTAATAAAGTGGGAACGTGGCACACCCCCGCTCCTTTTGGACCGAGCGATACTGGCAGCTGAGTGTCAGAAATAAGAGCTACAGTGGAAAGGTGTCTGGATGAGGTCCGGGCTGATGAGCGCGGGAGTTGTAAAGCAACACGTCTGACGGTTCCAAACACGAGTAAAATCCTGCTCGGCTGGGGTTATGAAACAAGGGTAACGACGGTGGTTCTTGGTGACAGCCAAGATGGGAGCGATAGCCGTGTGGCAGATAAGTGTGGAATGCTGCTGCAGTCAGTGGGAAAGCTATGTTTTTCCCCCAGTTTGCCAAGAAGATAGGAAAGCTGGATAGGGAACCGGTAAATCTCCCCATGATGTCAGCAGACAGGCAACTCGGCTACATCTCTGATAGGCTCAGGGGAACCTTTGTGCTTTAAGCTGAAGGGATGTTGTAACTGTAAAAAGCTAAGTTTTAAGCAGAACTGGAACTTAATGTATCTTTTCCTGGTGTTTGCTCTTCTGACCTCTGTTTCTCTTTGCAGGGAAAGACCAGCTGCAATCCCCATCGAAATCAAAAGTATTGATGACACTTCCAACTTTGACGAATTTCCGGAATCCGATATTTTACAGCCAGGTGAGACTGTCACTGTGAATTCCAAACTTCTGTGTCATGCCAGAATACTCCACTGGTGTTTTGCTGTTTATATACATTTTTCTGATAACCCGAACTGAGGTGATACACAGGGTCGATCTAGAGACTTTCTTTCGAGTGTGGATGTAAACCTGTGATCTCTCATCGCTTCTGCTTCCTTAGAACTTTGGAGGGAAGGGAAAAAACAAGGCCCAGAGACGTTAACAGTTAAATCTGTTAGTAAAAATGGCTTGCATATATAGTGGGAGGGGACTTTTTACAAGGGCCTGTAGTGACAGGACAAGGGGTAACGGGTTTAAACTGAACGTGGGGAGGTTTAGATTGGATATCAGGAAGAAGTTCTTCCCGCAGAGGGCGGGGAGGCACTGGGACAGGTTGCCCAGAGAAGCTGTGGATGCCCCATCCCTGGAAGTGTTCAAGGCCAGGCTGGATGAGGCTTGGAGCAACCTGGTCTAGTGGAAGGTGTCCCTGCCCATGGCAGGGGGGTTGGAACTGGATGGTCATTAAGGTCCCTTCCAACCCAAACTCTCCTATGACTCTAGTAAGCACAGAAAACAGGACAGTTTTCTACCTTATAGTTTGACCAAATACTGGTAAAATGCTAAGCGCTGATTTGCTTTTGATCCTTAATGACTTTTTAGTTTCATGCCAAACGTAAATGTTCCCATATTCGTGGGCAGAAATTTTTCAAACAGATTATTATTTAACGTAGTGATTTATGAACTGGAGTGGCTCTGCAAATTTTTTTTGCCAATTTTTATTGGCAAGTCATAGGACGTTTTTATATGTAAAAGGCTTGTCTCTGACATGCCAAATTCTCCCAGCTCCTGCTGTTTCAATTAATTATTAATGGCTTAAAGATAGATATATAACAGTGATTAATTGATAACAAACAAATGCTAACAACCATAAGAATTATCCAAAAGCTGGTCTTTTTTTCTGAGATGGCTTTTATTTAATGGCAAGGAAGTTTTGTCCTTTTAATGCAAAAGCAGTCAATCTCCAATGTCTAAGTTAAGCTGTTTAAGCCCATATTTGGATGGTGTCATGTACATTTGTACATGTTTTAGCATTCCAGACCCACTGAAAATGTTACTGTACATCTAGATACCTCAGTACAGACTTTGATATGGGTGTGTTTTGGCATCTGGAGATGAAACTCTTGTTACAGAACTCTAAAAGCAGCAACCAGAGAGGTTAATGTGGAATCCCGCTGCAGCGGATGTCCGTGTGTGGCATGTAGCCGCGTGGGCTGTTCCTAAAATAAAAGGAAGCTGCATAAGCCTCTCTGAAGCTGTAAGCAGGGTGGGAGTCCTGGGAGAGAGAGATGTGCGTGATGCGTGTAGTTCTCTTGGGAGAACTTGGATAATTTTCTTCTGTTTGTGGTGAGGATAACATGGTATGGATACGTGTGCCTGGCCTGCTTGGAGCATCCCAAATGTTACGTATTTCATCACTGCATATCCTGTGGGTGTTGTAGACGTTCCTGTCAAGGTATGGGAGCTGGTTATGGTGGCAGACATATTAAAAAAACCAAATGTGCAGATCCATCCTTAATTTCTGACTCGGACCGTTGACAAAAGGCAGCTGACCTGCTCAGAAATGGGATTTCTTCACGGTGTTTCTGCTCTCTGGGGCAGTAAGCGTTCAGGGCTGTTTGTCAGTGCTCTGTGAAAAGTGCCTTCGGAAGCAGCGCTGTTCTTACTTCTTTCGGTTTCACTTTTTTCTGTCTGAATTCTAGTGCCAAACACAACGGAACCTGACTACAAATCCAAAGACTGGGTTTTCCTCAATTATACCTACAAGAGGTTTGAAGGGCTCACGCAGCGTGGCTCGATCCCTTCCTACATGAAAGCCGGGAAGTTGTGAAACAACACGCAAACCCGCGACAGCAAGAAAACCACAAACCTCAGGTAGCTGCATCACCAGGCCCGCTTGGCGCTAGCTTATCAGTACGTTGGCTCTGGTGCGCATCGATTTCACAAGGAAATTCTACAGGATTAGGATTTCTAAGACTACTACAGGAATTAGTTGGCAGTGCCAGCTGGCTATTTTTTTTTTTTTTTTAATATTTGAATATTTTTGTTAACTTTATTATACAAAGGTACTGGAATAAAAGGAACGTACATCCCTTTGTAACTGCACTGCCTATGTGTGTAGAACGGTTAACTCTGCCTCTCTGTACTGTGGCTTTGTTTGTACTGTAACCCACCTAATCCACCTGGGAGTAAAACATATCATTTTATGCAGCGTTGTCATTACACTGCTTACCTGGTGGGTTTTGGATACGCAGGATAAAAACCCAATCACCCACATTTGCAAAATTCTCGGAGCGGTTGTTCCAGCTGCGGCCTGCGGATGCCCCGTGGATGTGGCAATACCGGGTTGTTTTAAACAGCAGTGTCCTGTGGGACCTACCCTCGCTCCTCCCCGCTGGAGCGGCTTTCCCAGCCCATCATCTTTCTTCCTCCTTCTGCTGTGCGTGGTGGTGAAACAGTCCCTGTGACCTGTTTAGTGCTATTTCAGCTTTAAACGGTAGCTCACGGGTATTGTATCTTAAGGTGATGGTACCTGGTGGCCACTTCAGGAGAATAAAGGGATCTGAGTAAAAAAGATAACCATTTTTAACAGAAGGGATTCTCTTTTTCTCATACCAAGTTCTGCAAAGATGGCAGTTTCCAGGATTGCTTTCGTGCCACCGTAAGGCAGATCATCTTTCTGCTACTCATAGTTGAAATAGCCTTTTCTGTCTGTGTAACACACGCTCCAGAGTAGTGATCAAATTGCTGCTTTTTCTTTTTGTCTCCCTAAGAAGCTGCAGGCGGAAGGGATCCTGCTCTAGCCTTTTCTTGCCAGAATGCCCCGTAGCAGCCTCTGCCCAGCCAGAGGAAGTGGAGTCACCCCACTGGACATTCTCTCCTGTGGGCTCCCTCTTCTTCCAGTATCTCCATCTTAACGTGAGCCACAGGATTACAAAGGATCAGATGAGTCTGCGGCCCAGTTTCCAGGAACCAGGAAAAGCCGTGACTGGATTGGGCAGAGCACGTAAATACTCTTCTCCCCAGTCTGCAGCATGGGTGTCCTATCCAGGGGTCGAGGAGGATGAAGGAGAAACCCCCCCCTGCTCTGTGGTGGGTATGGTTTTGCTTCTCAGCCCAGCAGCAGCTCAGGGCTGAATCGCACCCCTCGAGCTGTTGGGAGTTAACCCGTTGCTGGCGAATCTCTCTCCACCTCTGCCTGTGGTGGCATGTCATCTGCAGTCCTTCGGATCTATCGCTCTAGGGTCGAGGTCTCTGATGCCACTTTCTGGTTACGAGGGAGATGTACAGCCATAAACAATACCCCGGTCACTGAACGAGCAGGGTCACTGTTGCTGCCTTCCTTCTCTGAAGGCACCCCAAAACCTCCGCAGCGCCCAGCGGGGTGAAGCACAGGGCGTTTTGGCATACGGTAGGAAAGACGCCACTCGACCAGCTTTTGCAGCAAAATGGAAGCGACTATAAAGCCAGTGCAGGAATATTTATCGCTGTCGGGCAGCCATGGTATAGAATCATAGAATCACTAGGTTGGAAAAGACCTTAGAGATCATCCAGTCCAACCAAGTATCAGCAGTTCTGGACTATTTGTTTGCTTTAAAAACACGCCGGGGTGTTGATCTGCTGTGTAAAAGACCATTTACCAGCAAGATTTCCGTGCAGCAGTGGCTTGCTGCTACATGTAGCTGTCCCCGATCCAACACCTACTGGGTTCAAGGGCTTCAGTGATCTCTTTCCTCCAATATTTTCTCTCCCTTCAAGCATCTAACATTACTCATGCTGCATTTCTACAGAAGATTGTAGTCCTCAGTTCATCAAAGAGCCGGTGCCTCAGGGCCCATCCAGTCCATACGGCGTTATAGCAGAACGTGACCAAGCTAAACTTTGGCCTAAATGTTGGTCTTGCGTGGGAACAGCTCACTGATCTCCTGGTTTTTCTTCCCAGGCCTTACGCTGCTTAATACCCCTTGACTGCTGCTGTGGTAAGATCCCTGGGAAAATTCTCTGGTGGTCTTCTTAGCCTTGTCAGTGTAGCGAAGCTCAGCCTGTATCCCCCCCAAGACCCTCCAGAGAAACCAAGAGCTTGCTTAAATCCACCTTTACGCTTTGTTCTGCCCGTGCCCTGGCAGCTTCTGAGGCTTCCCAGGCAAGGAAATTCCCTTTCCCAAAGCCTTCAATCCCGTCTGCCCAAGCTCCTCTGCCTTGGCAGACAATACCCAAGGTGGAAGCTTTGGCCCCAAAGGACACTGCTGTTCAAAAGTGATGTTTTTAACTAGTTTGGGTTTCCAGTCTGGTGCGTGGGCACCGTGCGCACCAGCAGCGGAATTCCCGTCAACGGCGCGTTTCAAAAGACTGCAGTCGCCCCTGTTGGGGCAACGCAGCTAGTTTGGGTTTCCAGTCTGGTGCGCGGGGTACCGTGCTCACCAGCAGCGGAATTCCCGTCAACAGCGCTTTTCAGAAGACGGCGGTCGCCCCTGTTGGGGCAACACAAAAAAAGTCTTTGCTCGAGCTTGCCGAGACCACTTCCCTGGAAACTGCAAATGCTCGGTAATACTGGGCATTTGTTTTTCCTGCGGGGTTTGGGGGAGGGGAGAGAGATCTAAACACTTAATTTAAAGCTATCTATTAAACAACTCTGTACATACTCAGCTGGTTTACAAACTCGGGGGGGAAAAAGCTCAACCCTTGTATCTGTAACACTGAAGATAATACTCATTTACAACTGCGGATGGTTAATCGTATCCGTGCTCACGTAGGAGTTATATCCGTAGGGAAACGGCCTGCAGCCTGTTTAGCATCAACTCCTGTATTGTGGTAGGTGAATTCCTTTTAAACATAAGCGTTCTTTTAATCAGTAAGTCAAGTTAAACAAAATATTAACTGCTGCTTTTAGGATGACTGAATTGTTTTTTAAAAGGTGAAACCGTGACACCGTAAGGGGTTGAAGAGAACGGATGGTTAATCTACACTGGCTTTCAAAAAAAAAAAAAAATGGGAGTGCAACATATCTCTTGTTGGTTTTCCCTCTTATTCCTCTGGATGGTTGTGCGTTTTCCTTCGGCGACGTTTGTCACTGTGCCATTTATTTTTCTTATTCTTGGAGTACCAAAGATCCTGAAATGGCTTGATGATTGCAACCACGTGAAAATTGATTTCCTGGGAGTTATGTTTTGTTAACTTCGGTTAAAATGTGGGAGTGCGCGTGCAAATTTGTCATCAGGGGTTCGCTGGGAAGCTAACCTCTTCCAGCAGGGAAAGGTTGAGCGCGCCGATGGAAGCGGTGGTGAGCCTGAATCCGAATTCTGGATCTGAACACCCCGAAACGGGGGGAGGAAGCTTGGATTGGGGAAGGCAGCTGAGCTTTTGTACTTTGTTCCGTCTCCGGTCAGCGTGAGCGAGCTCCCTTAGGCACGGGACGTCAGCGGAGGTGGTTTTGTGTGTGAAAGGAGTTGAAGAAAGATTGCCAGCGTTCAGAAATCAAACACTGTTGGTACCACATTTGCACTGTTAAATTTGCCTTGCTGGAGAGTTACGTGTTACTTTTATAGGTCAGTTGTCAAACACCTGAGCCGTTGGATGCAGCGTGGAGCTGTAGCGTCTGATGTGGGTGAGCTCACCTCGGTGCGAAGGGGCTTGCCGGAAGCTCTCCGTGCGACCAACGGGCATAAAGCAGCGCTACGGGCGTTGCGCCGGCTCCTTCGGAAGGGCTGACTTTCCTCCTCCGCAGCAGCAAGTAGGGAATGCTGCAGTCTGGCCCCGTTACGCTCTGATACTTAGGAAGCGCTCTCACTTTTTCACTAACAGGAGCAATTGCAAGCACTGTACCATACTGTACCTTGTCCTTTTGATGTCGATATAGTACAGCAGCTCGTTCTGGGAGTCGAAATGGCAACTGCTCTATTTTTCCTAGACTGTTTCCTTAGTTGTGGTTGGGAAGGATACATAGAAGCATTATAAAGATTTATATGAGGCTTTTTACAGCATTTGAAAATAAAAGTAGCATTCTTTTTGTAACGTTGGAGTTCTTATTTCTTTCACGTCACCCTACGGGATTCGTTTCTCTTCCAGAATGGGAGACATCTAAGGAATTAAGGCACTATTTTGTGTGTTCTCGAATTCCACGGACGGTGAAAACCCGGGTGTCGCTGCTCTCTGTGAGAAAGTGGAGATTGTGGGAGTCGCCCGGCTTGTACCGACTGCAGTCACGTGAAGCTGCTTCTAAAATAGTTACTGCTCTTCCCAAGAGCCTTCCAATCTTCTTCCCTGTAGAGCATGATGTATTGAAGAAAGGCTTCCGCAGGCACTTGTGTCCTTTGGCTCGCTATAGAAACAGTTTAGTCCAGCTGTTCCTGGTTCCTGCAGCAGCAGCAGTTGTGAAATAATCATGTAAGGAAGGGAGTTGAGCAGCTGAGGGTGAAGAGGAGCTGGCAGCTGGGACTGGCCCTCTTTGCAGCCCTCCAGTGAATGGCAGCCTTCTGCTAGAGAGCTGCTGCGCTCGGGAAGTGATACCATTGCAATAGAATTTCACATATTGCACTTCTCTTTCACTAACCAGATGCTGTATCCCAGAGCTGCACTTCCTGAGGAAATGCAGGCTTAGTTCTTTATCTCCCTGTGTTACACCATTCGGTATTCCTCAATAGAATTTCACATATTGCACTTCTCTTTCACTAACCAGATGCTGTATCCCAGAGCTGCACCTCCTGAGGAAATGCAGGCTTAATTCTTCATCTCCCTGCCCATTGAGTATTCCTCAAAAATACAGCACTTTAATGGTCAATATGAAAGCTATGCCTTTGGCACGTGTAAAAACGTTTAGTTTTTTGTAAATCA